TTTCATTGTTGCTTCAAGTGTCTCTGACAAGGTGGTGATTAGGGCAGAGTAAATGGGCCCTTATGTCTACTAGTCTCAGAGGGCTGAAGGGTCAGTGAGCACTCATTGATTGCGTTGTAACGCAGCCATGGATCTTCTTTATAGGCTCTGGGTTTCTATCACAGGGCCCTGCTGAGGGCCATAGCAAGAGGCGGCCATTGACAGCCTTTGAGAGCAGCTCTTCTTGGAGGCATCCTCATTTCTGGCTGTGACTGAACCATTCTGAGTTACTGAAAGCAGTAAATTCGCAGTTCCCAATTTATGTGTATGTTAGGAACCAAAAGTTGTTAATAAGTCAGTTGTTTGGAACCGGGAATGGACTCTCAATAGAAACAATGTCGTGTATTGTGGTAAGGTGGAGGCCAGCTTGCTTATACCTATGTAACCCACAGTGAAACCCGACGGGTATGTATAGAAAGCATTGGGGGGCCAGGAGATATTGGTGAGATCACGCCCCCTCCAGCCCCCAGGAACATCAGAGGCTCCCTCCCTTCTTGCCCGCTCCACCCTTGCAGAGGCTCCCGTTGGTTTCAAGGCCTAAGAAACCCGCTGGCAGGAGGAGGAAGGGCTGGCTCTTGGCCCCCAGGCAGTGGGTGGGGGCAGCTGTAGATGAGACAGTGGTCCTGCTGTGAACCGCGAGGCTGCATCTAGTTCCCAGCTGACTCCTTTATATTACTAAATATAATAATGGTTATTGTTTTTCTTAATCCAGCAGTAATGAGAATTTGTTTTAGAAAACTGAGAACATGTAGATAAGCAGAAGGAAGGAAATTTAAATATTCCATATTGTCATCGATTTGGTAGACAGACTTCAAGTGTTTTTCTATAAATGTGTATATACATATATTCTTATACTTTGCATGACATTTATAGCTTGTTCTTCATTTAATAATGCAAACATTTTTCGTGTCATTAAATATTTTCCTATAGCATTCCAAAAAATGGGTGGATATACCATAATGTATTTAACCAACCTTCTACTATTGGACTAATAGGCTTTTCTATCAAAAATCACCCTGTGATGAGGCCCTTAGAGTTGTAATCATTACACAGATCCACAATTTTTTCCTATAATTCTAAAAGGGGACAAAGGGTGTGTGTGAGTTAAGACATTTAATAACTTACTATCAAAGTACCTTCTGTCCCCAGTTTGTGCGAAAACTTACCTCTACCTTTCCAACCTTTGATATTAAAAAAAATTAAAAACTCTGCTAAATTGATAAACAAAACATGGTAGTGAGTTTGGTTGCATTTTTCTTCTTTTTGAGTATGGGTGAGCTTGTATATATATATATATATATATATTTTAAAAGATTTTATTTATTTATTTGACAGAGAGA